CCGCCGGGGGGGGGGTTTGGCTGGGGGGGGTCCAGCGGCTTTGCTGGACCCCCCCAGCAGACCAGGGAGACCGGGAGAAGCTTTTCTCGCTCCGGAGGACATGGGTGGCGATCCGCCGCCCGTGAGCTCCGGGGCGAGAAAAGCCCCGTTCGTAAGTGCATAAGTCGGATCCGCGTAAGTCGGGGACTGCCTGTATTTTGTTTCTTACCATGTTTCATTCCAGCACTAGACTTTGTGGTGCCTGGGTGGAAAGGCATTCCTCCATAAGACGAATACCCATAGGAGGGGTATCCATACCCTAGAAACAACAGCAATGCAAAAGGAAAAAAGAAGAACTGGAATTATTCTTCAGCATAAAACCAAGCAATATCATGAAAATCCAATGCTCAGCCAAAGGCTCTATTTCATTTGCAGATCCTAGAAATTTGTCTTTGGATTTTCCACCCGGCTAAAATAACATGTTCCGGATGAAAGTCCAACCTCTCCGCCCTATGATAATAAACGGAGAGTCTAAATGCGTGACTAAGCAGCATCCTCCACCTCTGCAGTTCTCAGAATTGATGAGGAAGCATACCACTTCTACTGCTCAACAAAGGGCTTGGCATGCTGCCCAAATGATAGTAATTAGTGTAGTTGTTATGGATTTTTATTCTGATCCCATGCTTTAGACTGGGGTGGGGAACTGCTGGCCCGTGGGCCAAATCTGTCCCCCTGCTTAATTTACTCTTGTCCATTGGCAAGCCTCTGTGCAGAGAGCCTCAATGACACCTTCGCAAGCCTGGAACTACGAGCACCTGCTTACCTGTCACAGGGGGCAACAGAGAAGCTTTGGGGAGAGCCTACTTGTCTGCCCCCACAGCTCCTAGGCACAGGGATGGAGGATCAGGGAAGCCCTAAGTCTCTGAGTGTCCCATGGCCAATGGGAGCTGTGGGGACAGCACCTGTAGGTGGGAGCAGCACACCCCGTGCAGTTGCCTGGTCACGTCGTGGCAGCATCCAGGAGGTACGTGGGGGCGGGGGCAGGACAGCGGGGAGACTGCCTTAGCTCTGCTGCGGCACCAACAGGAAGCAGTCTGAGGTAAGTGGCGCCTGATCAGAACCTGTTCCCCTCACCCTTCCCATACCTCAACCCCCACCAGAGCCCTGAGCCCCCTCCTGTGCCCCAACACCCTTCCAGGTCATGCACCTCTAGCCCAAGCCCCCCTACCCAAGTGGGAACTGCCTCCCACACCCTAACTCCATCCCAGAGCCTGCACCACCACCCAAAACCGCTGCTCCAGCCATAAGCCCCTCCTGCACTCCCAACCCCCTGCCCTGAGCCTGCTTCCACAGCCAAACTCTCTCCCAGACTCTGCACCCTATTCTCCTGCCCCATGTCAGAGCCCCCTCCCTCACTCTAAACCCCCCATTTCTGGCCCCACTCCAGAGCCCAGGGGAAGTCCCAAGCCGCCTCCCTGCCGTCGGAGCTATGAGTGGTCTACGACTGATTTTTTTCTGTGGGTTAGTGAGCTTGATAGAAAAAAGGTTCCCCACCCCTGGTCTAGGGGAACGAACCACACACGTCAAAGTTTAAAGCTTATGCTTCAGATCAAAAATATTTTCTCTTTACCTGAACCAGCACCACTTCCTCCTCCTCCATACATTCCACCCCCTCCACCTCCGGCTCCACTGCCTCCACCATAACCATCAGAAAAATTAGGCATGAGCTTTTGTCGCTTCCTCTGAACTTCCTCTTTATCTGTGTTTTGGGGTGAGAAACAGCAAAAAGGAGAGGATGAGTCAAATCTGTCACCAGCTGGGGACAGGAAAGAGCACTGGTACTGAATGTATTTCTAAAAAACAATAGTTTAATGGGAAATCAGAAGTGCTGTAAGTAGGGTAAACTTTTTCAGGTCCAAACAACAGATCACTTTTGTACAGCAAGAATTGGTGACATATTCAAGAAAGCGACAAACCAAGCAACATTCTCAGAAAGCAGAGAATCAAAGACAGTCATGCACATGGATCCATATGGCTTTTCTAGTAGTGCATCTGGTGCTACAATACCCAAATTAAGATGACTGAGACAGAACATGGCAAAGACATGTAAGTGTCTACATCACTTTTGAAAATGGGACTTAGGCTCCTAAGTCACATAAATGGTTTTGTAAATTTTGCCCATTGGGAACAAAGGGCAATTTTCTCTATCAAACATATGCATTCTAGAAAAAGACCCATTTGGGAATGGGATTACTCAACACCTTTGAATCAGAGCTCCACTGAAATGAAGCATGCTTTAGTGGCAGAAAGGCCAGAATGAAAAATGAGTTTACAGCAAGACATAAAAGAGCCATGCAGGTCAGTAGCAAGAGAACCACCCTTATACAAAGTACAACAAATAAAGGTACAACACAGTGCCCTAGCTCCATCAAAAAATCCCTAAAAAACCCAACAGCCTAAACATAACATACAGAAAATGAAACAGTCATGGAAAGGAGAGCTATTGAGAAGTGACAAAATTCTAGTAGACGATGCCCAGCAACACTGTTGAGGAAAGAACAAAATATTCCCCCACAAACAACATAATAATTCCTCATAAGCATATGCCAAACGTGAGAAGGAAGCTACATGCAGAACAGTATCAATCAACGTATCAAACCCAGACATCGAACATATGGAACAACGTAATCAATAATCTATATAAGAAACCATAATTTAAAGATGTAGCATGTAGGTAAGTGTACATGCATCAAATATACTCACACCCAGGAAGAGAGAAAACTCAAAAACTGAGTTAATGCATCTGACCCAGGAAACAAAACAAAAACAAACTCTCGCACATTTCTGAGCTCATGTCAGCCCTATTCAATAGGGAAATAGCACAGTACAGCTTCTAGAATACACATCCTTGAATGCCATGTCCTAAATATGTTGGGCAGAGTTTATGAAGAGACATTTATAGAAATCCTCAATCAATTATTTTTATCTCCCTAAAAACCAAAAAAAAGTCAGACACAGAATTGGTGGGCTAAATATAAAGCAGCATAAAATGTCTCTCTAGAATTTGGGAAAAGAGATCTTGGAAGCCAAACAGAGAGAGTTCACCTGATTTCAAATATCCATCTGCGAACACAGAAATTTCTTACCCAACATAACTTTTTGTGGCTAATTATAACAAGCCATAAATAACCCACATGTCTGTCTTGCCACTTATCATCTCTGCTCATGAGCTAAATCCTCAATCCCGCATATACTTGTATATATGCTTTAAAGCGCATGAGTGGACACTGATCTCAATGAGACTACTCATGTGCTTTGAGCTGTGCCATAATGTAAATATTTCATTACTATTTATTATTAATGCTAACATGAACATTAAGAACAACCTTATAATTCTGTCAGACTAATTCATAGCATGCAATTCCTAAAAAAAAAAAAAAAGGATTGATCCACTGGGTAAGCTTCCTGACTTTGAACAACATAATAATCAGGTCTGAGTCCAACTTTTACACTTCCCCTAAATGATTTATAATATTGTCATGGAAACCTCTCCCCTCCATCACACCACCCTTCCTCTCACAACAAGTGCCAATTGATGAACACAAGTGGTCAGGACTAGAGCTGGTCAGAATATTCCTAACATTTAAGTCAAAGAGAAATGCAAAATACATTTTCTAATTTCTCACCAGCTCTAATCAGGATTCTGGTTTTGTGTTTCATCTGAAAGACAGCACCTATAGCACAATAACCTCTACTATTGTTTCAGAAGTGATGTGGGGGAGGAGAAAGCACCACCTACTGCACATACACATTCCATGTATACCTGTTGGTCCTAATACCCTGTGGGCACCTGTGTGTTTATTGAACAACAGCCCAACATAACACATCTATGTAGACACATCTTGCCCTGACAAATTTTTCCAGTAGTTGTGCCCAATATAAGAAGTGAAATATAGTCTTTTCTAGATGTAAAAACCAAGGAGCAAGGATAAATACATGAGGATTTTGCTGTTTCGCAAACAGGATATTTCCCCTTTGTAATGCATAGAAGAGGTTGAATGAATTACCTTTGATTTCTGGGTAGTACAGAAACGGCTTTGGCTCACTTGTTTCCAGATCAGATTTCCGCCGTAGCTGGACAAACACAGATGCTGGTTTTGTGATATTGACATCTCTATACTTGGGGGTTTTGAATACAATAGCAAACTGAAAAACATTGATTAGCAAGTTGTCAGGAATAGAGTTTTCTGAAATAAGATATTACTTTACATCTAACTTTTTGTATTTTGGGGGATTTTAGTTACAACTGAGAAAAATCTCACCTGGATGAAGGCTAACCCAACTACAAATTCCTGTTTTATTGTTCTCTTCTAGTTGGAGCTAAATACTTTTAAAAGCCCTTTAAAAATGCTGAATTGTCACATGATACATGAATACATAATATATGTAGGTATTGTACTTTTCTCTCTTGCTTTATCATTTTTCCATAGTATCCTTAGTATTCTTGTAGGAGCGCTGAAGACATTTTACCCTGCATTATTTTTCTATACATGTGCCCTACATCTCTCTTACCATGACATTCACACCTTACTTTTCGAATTTCCTTTTAGTGTGTTTTGAACTTTCATCAGCACTATGATTTAGAGTTGACAATAAATCCAGGCCATATTTATTTTTATGAAGTAACAGGGGTAAGGTGGTGACTGCGAAGATTAGTACAGTAGACTTCAGATAATCCAGCACTTTTGGGACCAACGTGGTGCCGGATTATTGGATATGCCAGTGTATTGGAAGGTACTCTGGCAGGGGGCTGTGATGGGTTTGCCGGACCTGCGCTGCATCCAGGGGGTGGGCGGGGAATGGCGCAGCGAGGGGCGAACTCTCCGCCATTTTGCAGGAAGGCGGGGGAAGCCCCGCGCCGCTGCCTAGAGTTTCTGGGAGGGGAGGAGAGCGGAGTGGGCTTTTCACCCACCAGACTGCAGTAGTTATCCCCGAGTAGGGAGGTGAGGGGCGGTGCTGCAGGACCAACCTGGCAGCACCCCAGCTGCTCTGCAGCTTCCCCAAGTCTGCCGCTTGTCAGTTTCAGCTGAGGCAGCGGCGGACTTGGGGAAGCAGCGCGGTGCAGCTCTAAAATGTCCAGCTGGCCGGAGCACTTCTGGGTTCCAGTTGGTGCCAGACTATCTGGATGCCGGACAATTGGAGTTTTACTCTATTGGGATATAGAGCTTTTCGCTACCGTTCAAATGGGGACCTCCTAGCTAAAGGATGCAGAGGTCATTAACAAATAACATCTGATTGGTCACTTACCTGCCTATGTACATCTGTTGGAGAAAAATCTCCAAAGCCTTCCCACAGACCACCATTTTCATCCTCTTCATAAAAACGAATTTGAATATCATCTGAGAACAGTGCAAGAGAGTTAATTTCTTTAGGGTTTTTCCAAAAGCTTTTGGTGAAATCAGTTTCTAATAAAAAAAATAGTGGGGATGGAAATTCTAAAAGTGGATTTGGGCAGATTATATTTTTCCCAGCACTAATTCATACTATATCCAGTAAACAATAAAATATTTTGGGAAAAGAAAATAATTCTCGCTAATGCTGAATTTCACACAGTATTTGTTTTCTGTCCTAATGTGTTACATTTAGAAGACTACATTAAACATCATGAATGTTCCCCTCTCAAATATGTTAAATTTTAGGAATATGTATACAGGCAGTCCCCGACTTACGCGGATCCGACTTACGTCGGATCCGCACTTACGAACGGAGCTTTCTCGCCCCGGAAGTCGGGGCGAGAAAGCCCCGTTCGTAAGCTGCTCCGGTGCCCCTGGTCTGCTGGAGACGGTCTCCAGCAGACCAGGGGCACCGGAGCAGCTTACGAACGGGGCTTTCTCGCCCCGACTTCCGGGGCGAGAAAGCCCCGTTCGTAAGCTGCTCCGGTGCCCCTGGTCTGCTGGAGACGGTCTCCAGCAGACCAGGGGCACCGGAGCAGCTTACGAACGGGGCTTTCTCGCCCCGACTTCCGGGGCGAGAAAGCCCCGTTCGTAAGCTGCTCCGGTGCCCCTGGTCTGCTGGAGACGGTCTCCAGCAGACCAGGGGCACCGGAGCAGCTTACGAACGGGGCTTTCTCGCCCCGACTTCCGGGGCGAGAAAGCCCCGTTCGTAAGCTGCTCCGGTGCCCCTGGTCTGCTGGAGACGGTCTCCAGCAGACCAGGGGCACCGGAGCAGCTTACGAACGGGGCTTTCTCGCCCCGACTTCCGGGGCGAGAAAGCCCCGTTCGTAAGCTGCTCCGGTGCCCCTGGTCTGCTGGAGACGGTCTCCAGCAGACCAGGGGCACCGGAGCAGCTTACGAACGGGGCTTTCTCGCCCCGACTTCCGGGGCGAGAAAGCCCCGTTCGTAAGCTGCTCCGGTGCCCCTGGTCTGCTGGAGACGGTCTCCAGCAGACCAGGGGCACCGGAGCAGCTTACGAACGGGGCTTTCTCGCCCCGACTTCCGGGGCGAGAAAGCCCCGTTCGTAAGCTGCTCCGGTGCCCCTGGTCTGCTGGAGACGGTCTCCAGCAGACCAGGGGCACCGGAGCAGCTTACGAACGGGGCTTTCTCGCCCCGACTTCCGGGGCGAGAAAGCCCCGTTCGTAAGCTGCTCCGGTGCCCCTGGTCTGCTGGAGACGGTCTCCAGCAGACCAGGGGCACCGGAGCAGCTTACGAACGGGGCTTTCTCGCCCCGACTTCCGGGGCGAGAAAGCCCCGTTCGTAAGCTGCTCCGGTGCCCCTGGTCTGCTGGAGACGGTCTCCAGCAGACCAGGGGCACCGGAGCAGCTTACGAACGGGGCTTTCTCGCCCCGACTTCCGGGGCGAGAAAGCTCCGTTCGTAAGTGCGGATCCGACGTAAGTCGGATCCGCGTAAGTCGGGGACTGCCTGTATAACTATTATTTGAGGGTCCAGTCTTGATGTTATTTCAACCAGTTTTACACGGACGTAAATTCTTGTGACTTCAGTGGAGTTACTCTTGGTTTAACCAGCTGCGAGTGGAGAATCAGGCTCACTGCTTCTTTCTGTTCTATGGTTAAGCAGAATGAATTCAGTACCTCAATACAGAATAATTGTAAGGACGGGAGAACATATGGTGTGAGATATAGGTCCCCCTTCCCAACAGTCTTCAGTTTTGAAATCTGAATGAAATTTTGAACTGTTCAAAAGTTCTATTTATTGCTGGTGAAAAGCTACTTCTCAGCTACCACTAAGAGTGATGCCAGCTGCTTCCTACAGCAGTCCTGAGCTAAGTGCTCTCGCACAGTGCATTTCCTTCCCCCTTTACAAAGCAGAGTGAGGGGTAGAGCTGTTTCTGTTGGGCTGGTAGCTCCCTGCATAGAGCTCTTTGGAGAGGTGGGGAAAACAGGCCACCGTGAGGACTTTTTTCTCAGCCCATTTTCCGTCTTTTACTAATGGCAAGGAAGTTTTTCATCTTCTTAAGCAAATGGAAAGGGGCCAGAGGGTAGGTGGGATGCAAGCTTCTGATTCCAAAAGTGACAGCATTTATATTAAACACTCCTTCCAGCCCACCTGCTGTGTGCATTTCATTTTCCCAAGGCACAGGAGTTTCAGAAAGTGATAGTCAGGGGAAACCCCACTTTGGAGTTTCCATTTACTCACACTTTTAAAAAAAAAATACATTTTACTTTATCTCCTGGAAAGGCCGTGGATTTATAGTATTAAGGAGGGGGGAAAACTATTTCC